AGGGCCAAGAACCGGGTGCACCCCACGGTGAAGTAAAGGCTGCGGGAGCGGTGCCCTGGCAGGGCTTTGCCCGGGGCGGGCTGTGCCCGCCCGCAGCTGCTCGGCCGGGCCGGCCGGGCCCTCCGGAGCGCTCGGGGGTGCGGATGGAACGGGAGGAGGCCGAGCCTTCCCCCGGGGCTGAGCAGGTGCAGGAGATCCCCGCTGCTGCCAGCGGGTGTGGAGCGGCCACAGGTGGGCACGGGGGGACGGGACAAAGCTCCCCCCCTTCCCTGCTGGCTGTGCCGGACGGGAAAGGGAGAGGAGAGCGCCAGGCCTTGAAGGTTTGAACCGAGTCTTGGATTTTTGTCGACCAGACGCACTGTGGAGGAAAGCGACAGCTTTCGAGAAGGTATTTAACCCATCTTGTGTTCTTTAAGCATAAATAGATATATAGAGAAATGCTATCTACACCCAGAGCAGTTAATGTCCAGTATTGGCTACTTTTATCCTCCAGAAATTGGTTCTATTATTCGTATTTAAAGAAACCAAATATTTAAAACAAGGGACATTGCAGCGAGCTGGGGACGAGAGACCCCTGGGCTGCCTCAGCCACCTCCGAGCTTGGGGTTCCCAAACTCCCAGCGTGGGGTTCCTGATTCCCAGTGTGGGGTTCCTGATTCCCAGTGTGGGAATCCCATCTCCCAGTGTGGGGTTCCCATCTCCCAGTGTGGGATTCCCAATTCCCAGTGTGGGATTCCCAATTCCCACTGTGGGGTTCCCATCTCCCAGTGTGGGATTCCCAATTCCCAGTGTGGGGTTCCCATATCCCAGTGTGGGGTTCCCATCTCCCAGTGTGGGATTCCCAATGTGCTGGTGTCCCTGTGTTCCCCTCCTGCCCTGTCCTCCCACCGTGGCCCCGGGGTGCAGGCGCCGCTGGCTGCTTGGCTTCTCTAACCCAAGGAATGTATTGCCCTAAGTATATATATTTTTTATTTTATTTTTTTTTTGTTTACTTGTTCCTATGTACTGCCCAGCACTTTAAACAAGGCTTTCCTCGGCTACCAGTGACACGTGCGAGCTAAGAATGGGATAATATATCACAAAAGCAGTATTTTGTTTGTTTAAATCATAAACTGAAATGGGCAGGGAGGAGGGGAGTGCAGCCCCAGCTCAGGCAGCCGTGCCAGCACTTTCCCTGAGCACGAAGGAGGCAGGTGAAGCCCTGAGGGAGCTTTTTTTGGGGTCCCTCCAGCCCTGCCATCTGGGATTCACCATGTGCTGGGCTACAGCTGCTGGGCTACAGCTGGCCTGTGCCATGGAACCCCCCCAGATCACAGCCTGGGGGTGCCTGAAGTCCCTCCCCAGGGCTGCCTTCCTCTCCTCAGCCCCATTTCACCTTATGGCTATTGTAAGTAATTTATACGGGGTTTGTTTGGTTTTTAAATGTATATATTTTTGTATGTTTGCTATATTTTCATAGCATCGGTACCGTGTTTGAAACATGTAGATAGGAGACAGAACACTATTGTCAGAGTTATTTAAAGGATGTATTAAGTGCTTCTTCCTGGGAATGTCCCGTGTATATAAGGATTGGGTGTCTGTGTGTGTGTGGTGCGTGTGCTCTCCTGGGCTGGCTCGGGGCAGTGGCCACAGGTGGATGGGGAAAAGCCCCCAGTGTGTTCCAGAACCTGCTCCATGCCTTGGGCAGGTGAGAGGGTGGAAGGGAAGGTTGAGGGGGGCAGAGCTGCAGGGGAGCCTTTTCCAGGTGGAGAAGGAGAGCTCCTAAGGCACTTGCACTGCTCCATCTCCTCCTGAGCCTCCCCTCCAGCCCCCAGCTGTGTCAGACACTTGTGGAGGTTTCATTCCTGCATCCATCTGCTTCCTTGGCTGGGTGAGGCAGCCTGGCTGCTCTGGGATGCCTTTGGGACAGGTCTGAGGTACCTTTGGAAATCCCAGGTGCTGTGCAGGACAGATGTTGTGGGAAGGTTGCGGAGGGATGAGGGCAGAAGATGAGTGAGGTGGTGCTTGGTCAGCACAGAGGTGTTGGAAGAGCAGAGGGACAGAGAAGGGGAGCGCAGAGGGGAGAAATGCAATCCTGGTAACCAGGACAGGGTGGGAGAGGGCAGAGAAGGGCCCAGAGGGCAGGAGTGGGACAGGGAGGTTCCTGGAGCAGGCAGAACCAGCAGCTGGAGCCTGAGCTCAGGGCTGCGACCAGGTGCTGGTCAGCTTTGTGCTCTGTCCCCAGAAAAAAAAACTGGTTTTCAAGGCAGACATAGAAAACTTTGCCTTGATTTTTTTGTTCCTTTAACTTCCCAGGCAGCACAGCACCAGGCTCAGCTCTGGCACGTCCATGACTCCTTTTTGGTGACAGGGACAGTGCCAGAGCCACATCCCCAAACCAAGGCAGTAAGAGGAGCAGTGGTGAGGAGGCCCAGAGATCTGGGATGGCCCCAGGGCCCCTCCAGCTCCAAAGCTCCTTTCCCCACACACCTGCCCTGGCACAACCCATCTCACCTGTGTGGAGCACCAGGGGTGTAGATCCAGCCACCCCAAGGGCTCAGTGGGAATATCCAGTGATTGGAATGTCCCAAATGAACCAAGCAGGTCTTGGAAGTCTCTTGAAGAGCCAAGAAGTTCAGTTCCTGATGCAGAGGCTCGAGTAGCCTCATTAGAAGAAGCTGGGAGCGGGAGGGGAGGAGACAGAGGCAGGAGGGGCCAGCAGATGTTTTTGAGCAGCCATTCCTAAGCTAAGGGGCAGCTGGAACAAAGATGCTCCCCAAATCCATCAGGATTTTTGTTCCCAAGTGCCCGTTCTTGCCCTGCGTGTGTGTGTGAGTGTGACTCGGTGTGTGTGACTTTACCAAGTGCTCCTTCTGATCCCAGAGGAGCAGAAACGGGATCAGACAACTGCCCTACTTCCCTGAAGTACGGAGAGCAGCTCTGCCACCCACAGTTCCTTGAAAAGCCCAGCCCTGCGTGGTGGGCAGCACCCACAGCTTCCAGCACTCACAGTTCTCAGTGCAGCAGCTCCTGTGCCAGCTCCAGCAGTGTCCCAGGGTCCCCTCCATGTCCCAGCTGAGGCTCCTCTGCAGCCAGAGGTGTTCAGCCATGGAGTTACACCCTCACAGCAATAAACTTGACTCAAAAGCCCATCAATCCCCCTGAATGTATATTTTTGTGTCTGTAGTCACCGAGAGATGGTGTGTTATTTATTGCCTTGAATCTCACAACGATGTATCAGGATCAAGCTGCTTAAATGAAAAATGAAACCCCCATCCATTCGTTCCAAGGGAGAGGGAGGGATTTCTCTAAGTGCCTTATTTTTTTTCTAATTTTTTTTTTTAAAAAAAGAACAATGATTGTGACCAAAATGCCAATGGTTCCTGTCTGGTCAGCATTTCACTGCAAACAAAAATGGTGTATTTTGTAACTGTGGGGATGTTTCTTACAAAGTGACAAAGTCAAATAAACACTGACTGCTATAAAACCTGGCTCAGGTGGTTTTGTCCTGCTCCACCCCTCCCTCATTCTCTCTGCAGCCATCATTTTAATTAAGATCCCCTGCACAGCATGAGACACTCTCTTAAATCCTGCAGCCTGTCAGGGCTGGCATTAATGAATGAGCTCTCTGGGGGTGGCACAAGCTGACAGAGGGAATATCCCCAGGGAATATTCCAGTCCAGAGCCTGGAACACAGCCAGGAATCCAAGTGTCCAGCACTCAGAGGGGTGGGGAGTGATTCCATGAGCAACAGGCTGGGAAACAAAACCAGGAACAGGAGGAAGGATTTACATGATCAGGAAAGAGTCTGAACTTTCCCAGGGCATCAAGAACACACAGATCAGACAAATATTTTATTTCCTTTACGACTCATAAACACTCGAACACAACGGACACTTGGTGTTCCCACACACCTGCACAGGTGAGGGCCCTTCGTCCCCTCACCTGTCCCTTCACAGTCCCACGTGCACATTGCACTTGTCTTCATCTCCCTGCTGGCAGCCATTCCCAAATCCACGCCTCCCCCGCAGGGACAAAGCAGGAGATGAAGTTCTCACAGTATAATCCAGCTGACAGGTGCCTCCCAGTTGGATGCTGTAGTGTCTGGTGCCCTCCTTGCCTCAGGAGGGGCTGCAAGTCCCATTCCAGCTGTGCCCACCTGCCCTGGAAGCTCCAACTGAACTGCTTCAGGCTCCCCTGAGAGCCTCCCTGTCAGGGAATGAACAAAACTCCTGGGGAGATTATGCCCCAAGACTTGTCAGCAGTCAAAAAGGGATTTATCAGGTGTGTGGGGAAGGATGTGACACCCCAGCATTCCCACAACCAGGAAGTTCTGCATATGGCCAAAATAGAGACAAACCTTGGGAACTTAAGCAGCATTTTGGGCAGAAAAGAACCCAAATTAACTCTTCCCAGAGCTGGCAGCAGAATGAGTCAGAGCTTGAAGAGTCCAAGTGCTGACAGCCCCGAGGTTCAGGGAGGAGCTGGGATTCTGGGGTGCTCAGAAATAGCAACTGGATTTTCAATTTTCATTTCCAATACAGTCCTCAAAAATCCCACAATTCCTAGATCTTCACGTGAGGATCTGCAGAAAATCATCCTTTGTCTGCTTCCACCAGGAGCTGGTGTGGAAGGAGTCCAAAGAAAGGTTCTGCAGGGAAGTTCCCAACAGAGAAGCTTTGGAACAGCTCAAATCAAACCAAACCCAGTGGGTTGGGCCTCTGGGAGCTTCTGCTGGGAATTCAGTGTCGTCCTCAGGGGCACCCAAAGCTCCTGGCAGGTTCAGTGCCAAGTCCACATGCAAGGAGCAGCCAGGCTGCGCCTCCCAATCCCTGTGTCCATGCAGGGAACACAATTCCATGGCCTCAGTGTCCCAGCAGGGACACCCCGAGCCCGGCCCTACACGAACTCGGTGAAATCATCCACGGAGGAGATCAGCCTCTTCCTCTGCCCCGTCTCGTAGCTGGGAGGGGGGTCCTGGGGCATCTGGGGAGGGGGTTTTGTGGGGGCAGAGGGGTGCAGCTGCAGGGGAAGGCCAGGGCTCTGGTACTGTGTCT